TGACGAGTAACAATAAATGCGACTAATAACAAAAGGAAAACATGTATCCAATGACGTTAGATATTCTGAGGTTAATTTTCACGCGAAAATACTCGAATGTTTATTATTAACGGTAATGTTATTCTTTGAACATTTGTACTCTTGGCTCGATATTTTGCAGCAAAATTTTTATCTCGCGACACGTACGACACGTAATACGTAACAGCTTTGTCAATGTAGGTACATCGATACTGCGAATTCCGCGTTGAATCGAAAAGCGATTTCAATTGAAATAGATGGACGTTCGTTTAATAAATCGATCGTTAAACGAGTTAAGGGAATTCATTTTTAATAACGAGCAGATAAATCACGACGCGTGAATTGTGAACTCTCTCTCATTGATTCTCACGTGCAGCAATTTCAAGCTTATTCTCACTTAGAACTGTAGCCTAGTTGTCGTTGAGATTGAACAAGTGAGATCATTTTATCGGCGTTATAACAATCAAACGAAACCTATTGGAGATCTATCGCACAAACTCGAGCGTAGATAGATAGCGCTAATTAATAATAAATACTTGAACAAATTTCTCACTCCATTTCCTTCCATTTCAAACAGGCAAACACGAACGAAACGTGTGTTTCTTTCGAAATCACCGGACTCGCTTATCATTTCCCGTCCACTTGTCCATCATATTTATTCATCATACCTGCTCGTTCATTTGCCGAATGTAATGCCATCTCGGACGTAGTCGCAAAAAAACAAAAAAATGTACTACAATTTTTATATTCTTTATAAAATATTTTTAAAATTACCGCCAACGAATGATGGATTATCATCCCTGCGAAAGCTCCGAAAGACGCGACTTCGTCCGTTTATTTTCTTTTCTTCTTTTTTTTTTTAAATTTTAAACCAGCTCTTTTGTCGAACAATTAATCGAACAAACGTGCATTCAATTTCCAATTCCAAGTCTCGAGTTTTAATTAGCCATTGTTTTGAAATTGAACATTATTTCAGCGTGTGCATCGATCTATTGGGCAAAATTTTCGAACCTTCGTTCGTGCATTGTATGGGTCAAATGGAACTTAGGCAGACAGTTTAGGGTCTAAAAACGAAAATGCAACCGCAAATGTTCATGAATTAATCCCGTTAATTGCTTCCTTATCGTAAATGAAAATTTCTTCAATTCATGGACACTGAGATGCTAGCGTCGCGTAGCGGCGACACGGTGGAACTAAAACTTAGTCGTTGTCCTTGTCGCACACTAGTGCGCTCCTTGTCTAGAGATGATGCTGCCATCTGGGCCACTCTCATTTTCGACTGGAACTAAAAGTGTAAACTGGAAAAATCCGATAGATGGCAGCACCCGTTTGCAGATAAGGAGAGCTACAGCGTGCGACGAAGACAGACTTGCATGATACGACAGACAAGGAGCGCACTAATGTGCGACAAGAACAACGATAGATTTTTAGTTCCATCGCTTCGCCGCTACGCGACGCTAGCATTTCAGTGTCCATAAATGGGTCAAATTTCCATTTACGAAGAAAAGCGATTAACAGGATTAATTTACAAACTTTTGCAGTTGTATGTTCGTTTTCAGACTCCAAGCTTTCTTCCTATATACCATCCGATCTATAAAATATATAAATAAAGATTTGAAATAATTTATTCGGTAGATCGAAGCACACGCTGAAGTAATTTCTGGCGAATTGAAATTTGAAATTTGAATTGAAATTGAATGAATGTTTACTGGTTTCGATTTGTTTCGAGTTCTTAACAAACGAAGTTGTATTTTTTTTTTTTTTTTTTTTTTTGGCATTTTCACGATGATGATAATTCGTCCGTCAGCGGCAATATTAAAAATGCTTTATAACGAGTACGTAAAACTGTATTTACTTATTTCCCACGAGATGCAGTGATTAAATAGATAAATGTCTTTTGTTGCATAAGTACAGTAATTATACTTTGCGATTATGAGTTACTAATTGGGATGTTTTGCAGAAGATAAATCACGTATTGAATTCTACGCGAAGAAACACGGCTCTTTTGCCCGTTTTGTTCCAAGAAGAATAATGATCGTACTAATGAATACCTATGAAGATACTTACGTGAAACATTAATAATGTTTTTCTCATTAATAACGATTTATTTTTGTCCGTTATTAAATGGATTATAAAATATTCGTTTCCTTACCCCCGTAAGAGTGGTTGATAATGAAAGTGACGAATAAGTAAATGGAAGACGTTTATATTCATTTCATTTATTTCAACAATTTCATAATAACGTAATAATGTTAATAATATTACAATGCGGCGATTATGTGCTCACCAGTTAACAGGGATTTTTATATCGATCAACGTTTCTGCCTCGAAAAAGAGCCCAGCGTAGAAATATAACAAATTTTTTTTATTATTATTAGTATTAGTACTATTGTTATTATTATTCTTACTCTTATTATTATTAGTATTAATATCA